TCACTTTGTTGTCCAGGCTAGAGTGAGTCGTGGCGTCAGCGTAGCTCACAGCAACCTCAAACTCCTGGCTCAAGTGATCCTCCTGCCTCAGCTCCTGAGTAGCTGGGACTACAGCATGCACCAATAACACTATATTATTGGCCAACTAATTTCTTTTTTATTTATAGTAGAGACGAGTCGTCGCTCTTGCTCAGGCTGGTTTGAATCCTGACCTTGAGCAATCCGCCTGCCTCGGCCTCCCAGAGTGCTAGGATTACAGGCATGAGCCACCGTGCCCGGCCAGCATTTCTTTAACTTATCCACCTCTATGGTTTATTCTGGTAATAGAACTTTGATTTCTTTTGGAGAATGAGCTCTCTCCATTCTTTTTGTTTTGTTTGTTTGTTTTTAGATAGAGTCTTGCTCTGTAGCCCTTGCGTAGAGTGCAGTGGCATCATCATAGCTCACAGCAATTTCAAACTCCTGGGCTCCAGCAATCCTCCTGCCTCAGCCTCCCAAGTAGTTGGGACCATAGGTGTGTACCACCACACCCAGCTAACTTTTTCTATTTTTAGTAGAGATGGGGTTAGCTTTTGCTCAGGTTTGGTCTGAATTCTGACCTTAACATCTCGCCACACAGCTCCCAGAGCTAGGATTTTTATAGGCATGAGCCTGCACACCGCCCCTGTCCGCCCATTTCTTGTTTCCAGATAAGGATATGGTTGAGTATATAATTCCAAATATTGCCGTGAGAAAATATCCAAGATTTTCAATTGGCACTACCGGGAAATAAATGCTGTGTTCTCCTGTGAAATGGTAACCGTAGGTATTATTGAAATGCCCTTTTAAAATTAATAGAGGCCGCAAAGTGGGAGCGTGGTAGGTGCCTGACCTCCTGCAAGAGTAAAGCGGCATGGTTAAAAATATGCGGCATATACACACACACCACACACATATATTAGTATTTATAAAAACAACCAACCATTGTCTACTACCTGCTTTCCGTATGGTTGCTTACTATCAGGAGTCATAAGCTTGATGTTCACAAAGATTCTTACCTCATTGCTTCCATAGATAATTTCACCCTTGTGAAACCTAAGCTGATTTGAGATTCTCTAGACCTGCTGACCAACAGACCAGTGGCCCAAGGAACACACTCCTCTGTTTGCAACCTGGAATGACTCAGAAAAGGAGAAATTTCAGGCGGGCGTGGTGGCTCACACTGGAGGGCCGAGGCGGGAGGATCTCTCAGGCTGGAGTGTGAACCAAGCCTGAAGCAAGAGTGAGATCCTGTCTCTATAAATAAGAAAGATAATTAACAACTAAATATAAGGAAAAAGTAACTGGGCATGGTGCCCATACCTGTATGTCTAAGCTACTCTGGAGGCTCGATGGCAGAAGGATTGCTTGAGCCCAGGAGTTAGAGGTTTGCTGTGAGCTAGGCTGACGCATGGCACTCTAGCCGGGCAAGCAGGGTAAGACTCTGTCTCAACAAGAACAAAAAAAAAATGAAGAAGACAATTCTGCTTATTGATCTATGAGTGTCATCCCCCAGCCAATCAGCAGACTTAATTCCCTAGCCCTTTGCAAACACAAACTATCTTTAAACACTCTTTCTCCCAATTCTTGAAGAGATGGATTTGAGATTTTCTCCTGCCTTCTTTCATGGCACTGCATATTAAACTCTTACTCCACTGTAACTCCTGCTGTCTCAGTGTATTGGTTTCTTCTTGAGCAGTAGGCAATGAACCTGGTTGGGGCTGTAACAATATCAGTTGAATGCTGGTGAAAGGTGGGGAGGTGGGAGGAAGTCAGTATGTGAGAATAGATTCTTTGAAGTCAACAGAGAGGAAAAGAGAGACCACATCCTGGTCCTGATGACATTGTTTGCACCCCTGAATCCAACCATATTGGAAGTTGTCTATCAATGGATTTTTCAGTTATTAAGCCAAATACATTCCTTTTCTTAAATCAGTTTTAGTTTGAGGTTTTGACACTTGCAAGGAATTGACACTTGCTCAGTATTACATCACAAAAAAACTCCACTTATTACACAACAAAACGTCTAAAAACCCTCATTCTTCCCTCTCCATAGCTCACTGTCACTCAGAATGGCAGCTATGCTAAATCCCTAGTCTTATGCTTCCAAAACCTCCAGAAACTTTCTCTCCTAAAGTCAGCTCATTCTAAGCTTTTAAAAAAATATCTCACTCCCATCCTCAAAACTTTTCTGCCTCTTCCTCACCCCCAACCCACCCCATTTCCTTCTAGAGAAACATAAAATCTAGTTGAACCTCTGTAGGTCACCCTAGCCTTCTGAGGCTCCTTTTTCTTCTGTTCCTCTATTCCTTACCTAGATCAGCAAAATGAATGCCTGTCTGAACATCAAATGATCCTTTCTCTTACAAAGGGTGAAAGTCGGGAAATGCATGTTAAGTGTTCTGTTCTGGTCTCATTTGTATTCAGTACACATAATCTGTTTGCTTGGACATTAATTCTGTTTGCAAACAGCTACCAGCTATGCCTGGGGATCCCTTTGGGTAAGTTTTGCCATGATATTGCTGCCTTGGGTTGTTGGTTTTTGAAGGGGTTGGGGGAGGAATCAAACTAGTCAAACCAGTTTGGTTGTTTTTACAAGCCTAAGAAATGGTCAAATCTTGGATTCAGACCAAGCTGATACCGAGTGCTAGGAGCAAGTTAATGATTATTACTCACTCTATGGCCCTTTCATTTCTCTCTTTGGGAATATTCTTTGGATTTTCTACAGGAACAGCCAGAGGCCCTCAATCTTGACAATTGCCTTATTCAGGAGTTTCTTCTTATGCACATTTATAAGACTCTGTGCCCAGGACTTTTTTAAGTGTCCAAAGTGTCCAAAGATTATTGACTCATTCAAAAGCAGCCCAGCTGCAGGGCACCAGCACTTGCTCCATAAAAATCTAGACTGTCTCTCTACATCAAGAGGTATCCAAAATTCTATTATGCTGGGCACTCAGATCATCCCCAACCCTTTTGTGACCACATTGGTTATAAGCAATTTGAATTCCATTCTTGGGTCTACTCAAATTGCCTTTGTGTCGTGGTCCTGTCCAGGGCTGGAATTTGAAGTGTTTCCCCAGTTCTTGGGCTCCTAGCTTGGAGGAATCGCAAGCATTTGGCCCACCCCAAGGAGAGAGATTATAGACACTCAACAAGTATGTGTGAAGAATTCATTGTAAGGAAAGTTTAAGGGTGCAAAGCGAATTCCAAGTGGAGAAGACACTGTCTTCTATGTTTTTCCTTTGGTATTCTAGCAGTATATATTGATGTAAAAGGTCAGTTATAATTACTTATGACTATATGCCACAGGTTTTGGGGTCTGGATTTTTCCAGGTATGGACATAACTTAAAGGTTATGTTCCAGACATTCCATTCTTCTATATGTGTGATGGGGAAAATCACTGTTTATGGTGTTTTTCTACTTTCTGATGGGTGGTCACTGTTCCATGGTATAATTACTCCATTCTTTAAAACTGAAATAACTGTTTTCCCTGGTTATTTTTCTGTAACTGTTTTCTTCTTGTTGTTTTTCTGCCTCTATCATTTCATTATCTCTTGCTTTTCTGTCCTTCACATTTGGTATCCTTGGGCTAGGGGACTCAGCAGGGAGACCACCTAGCAAGACAGATGCCTGGAACCCAGGGAACTGTCAAGATGACTCTAGAAGACATCTCTCCTTTTAAAAGCCCCGTTTCTTTTACATATTTTTTTTTCCTCATGAATCTTGTCAACCACAATGGACTAAAATCTATTATAGTGTCCTGAAAAGGTAGGAAAAGGATGGGATAGTTGAGGAGAGTTTAATGAAGGAACTATTTAAAAAGGTGTGGACAGGATTAAAGGAAACCTCTGAGAGCCATTACCAGCCCCAGGCCTGAAGGGTTAAAGGCAGCTAATGATAGGGAACCAGAGAAAACTGTAGAAGAGTGTCAGAGGACTGGAGTAATGGCTTTCAGATAAAGAACATAGCCACTGTTAACAGGAGGCCTTGCTGGGGGTGGAGGGGAAAGTTGCTAATAACATCCTGCCCTCTAATCTCCTGCAGGTGCCTCAGACTTGCCTAACTGAAAGCCAGATTACAATTGATGTAGTCCATAAAGGTCAACCCTGAGTCACATAGCACAGTGGAGAGCGGATTTGAAGGATGAGGAAAAACCAGCAGACACCTCTTGTCTTTTCTCACAGCTAGCACCTTGGTTCAGGGCTCACTCTCTCTTGCCTGGCCTAGGGTCATGCCCTTCCTGCCTGTGCCCGTGACCCTAGAGCATTGCTTTGATGACTAGGTCTTTTTCCAAGAGATTACATTACATTCATTGGGTCTGGTATTGGGGTATGTAGACCCAGGTAGAGGAACCAGTTCTGCAGTGTCCACACCTTTCCCTAAGAGACCTCACGAGTAAAATGTCGGGTGCACTGGGGAGGGGAGTTATCCGAAGACCTTTCCAGACCACGATTTACCCATGCTGGGAACATTTTTAAATATTAAAGAATCGGAAAGCGATTCTTAAACGCAAGCGGCTGGGTGGAAATGGGCCGAGACAGCCTCCCTGCCCTCTTTCAGAGGACTGTGCCGCCCAGGCTGACAGGCGATGGCTTCACACCGGCTCTCTCCTAGGACGTGTAGGCTAAAGGGGCCTAGGGGAGGCAGTTTCCCGTGACCAAGAACCTCCCACCGCGCGGGGAGAGGAAGTCCCCCAGTCCAGGCGCCAACCCTGGGCGCCCCCGCGGTCTCAGACTCCCACACCGGCGGGGTCGGCTCGGTGGGGCGGGGTGGGAGGGGGAGCGGTGAGCGCAGGCGCAGTGTCCGCGCGGCGGCCCCTCTCCCTCCCCGCCCCTCTCAGCAGCCGGGGTCGCGGTTTTCCAGGCCGAGCGCTCGGCGGTCTCAGCTGGCTCAGAGGCTGGACTGGGCGCGCTGCGTGCCGCAGCCCCAGCTGGAGCCCCGGGCGCGCCTTCCTCGCCGCGACACGCAGGTAAACGGGCCCCGGGAGTCGGTCGGCAGCGGCGGACTGGGACCTTGACGCTGCCTGCCCGGTCGCCCCACTGGGAAGGAGTGGGAGGGGACCCCGAAACCCACCACCTGTTTTTAGCCACGACACCTACGGGGCAGAGCCCCTCTTTTTGGGTGAGGGCTGGGCAGGGGGAGAAGCGCCTCGACCCCTTTGCAAACCGTCGCTGGGGCACTGCACAACTCCTGCAAGGCCGCGAAGCCCCAGTTCTCCGCGCTGCCCTCCTGGAGAACCCGGAGGCCAAGATGCTGGGATCAGCATCAGCTGTGGTCCCCGCTTCCCGCGGCCTGCCACCGTCGCAGGTGCGGGCGCTCCCCGGCGCCCACGATAAAAGCCGGTGGCTGTTGCTTTCCTGTCGCCCGGGAGCCCACTCAGGCAAGGGTGGCTGAGTTCCTGTGGCGTCATGGGATCGGTTTCAAATACAACTTTTTAAAAACTGCTATTTAGTTTTAAAAATATGGCCAAGAATTTGTATTTCTCATTACTGCCTTAGTCCGCGACTCTTGAACGCCAGTCTATACGGGTCGAGATGTTCGCGGTGAGTCGACGGTGTGTGGAAATCTTCGCGCGAGGAGAGACGAGGGCAAGGGTTAGTGGAGGAAGGGCCCGGCTGCGGCGAGTGGGGCGGCGGAGGCTCGCAGGTCCTCCCAGCCTCCGCCAGCCCGGGGAGGAAAACACACTCTCTCCTTACTACAGCCCTCCGGGCGCTGTAGCATTTCTACCCCACGTGCGCCCATTTGGCCTCATGTGGGAGGGGAGGAGAGGGAGGAAGGGCTGCGCCAGCTGGCAGGAAGGAGACTGGCGCTGGGGCGGGCGAGAGCGCGGCGCGGACCCGCATCGCCGGCTCGGCGGGGAGCGAGACGCGAAGCGCGCATCCCGGCCACAACGGGGGGCTCCGAGGGAGTAACGCGCTGGGCGGAGTGGCTGGGGGCGAGCTCCGTGGGCTGTTCCGCGGGAAAGGACTTTGATCAGGGCTGCCCGTGTCCGTGGTGCTGAAGTGCCTCGCGCGCGCTCGTCGACTGATTCCTGGGCCATGGCCTGCCCTGCCCTTTCGCCAGAAATAGGCCCTCTCCCGAGGCAGGTAGCCCTGTGAGCACGGAGTCTCTTTGCCCACGGGTTGATGTTGGCTTCCTGAAGATAACATGAAGGCCAGCGTGGCTCGCCTTGGAGGTGCAGATAAAGCATATGCATAACAGGTTTACCTACGTGAAAGTATACACCTTGAGCATAAACACGAACAAGTCTCATGTATGCTGTGAAAAATACAGGTGTCTGTATATGTACATAAACATAATGCACTTGTAAATACTGCCATCCTTTTTCAAAGCCGTCATGAACTATGAGTCACACATTTTCCAGAGCTTTTTGTAATCCATCTTTATTTTTTGACACCTCTAGTGTTTCTGAACTCTGTGGAACCATTAATTTTCATAATCATCTGTTCCAAAGGCACAGAGCCTGTGGATTGAAGTGTTTGGTATTTGGCTGAGCAATTAAGTATAATATTTACACTCATTTAAATTCTAGAACAAAGCTAGTTCAGAAAGATATAAAATTGATATTGATACAAAAAAGTTTCTAAAGGAAGGTGAAGCAAGCAGAATTAATGTAGATTTTAATACAGAACAATATCTAGATAATCTTATAGGAATTTATAATCTGAAGAAAATATGACTAAGTTGTACCATAATGCTGGCAATTTCAAATATATTGGTGGTATATGGTTTGTGAAGTTCTTAAAGATTTGTATTTTTCAGAACATCGATATGCTTTTTTTCCTCAAGAAATGTATGCTCATTGTAAGAAATTTAGATAGTAGAGAAATGCATAAAACCATAGAAAGCCATTGTAAATGGGTTTTCTTTTAGATTAACAAGCATATTTTCAATGGGTCAATCTTCTGTGGGTTGCATTTTCACTGTATAATTTATCATTAATATCTTTCAAACTAATACAGATAAAACTAGGTCATCATATTAAGGGTTGTATAATATTGCTATATGTGGGTGTTTGCATAATTTATTTAAATAATCCTATAAAGAACATTTATGTCTATTTTTTGCCATAATAGACAATTCTGCAAATATAACATCTTTTTAAAAGTTATTTTATTGTGGTAAGAATACTTAACATGAGAGATATCCTCTCAAGTGTTTAAGTGTATAGTACATTATTATTGATTATAGGTGCAGTGTTGTACAACAGATTTCTAGATCTTATTCATCTTGCTTAACTGAAACTTTATACCTATTGATTAGTAACTCCCCATTTCCCCCTGCCCTCCAGCCCTAGCAACCACCATTCCACTCTTTGATTCTATGACTTTGACTATTTTAGATACCTTATATAAGTGGAAACATGCAATATTTGTCTTTCTGTGACTGGCTTATTTCACTTAGCATGTCACAAGATTCATCCATGTTGTGGCATATTACAGAATTTCCTTCTTTTTAAAGGCTGAATAGTATTCAGTTGTAGGTATATACCACATTTTCTTTATCCATTCATCTGTCAAGAACATTTAGATTATTTCCAATGCAAATAACATTTTTGAACAAATATTCGTGCACTTGTTGATTATATTCTTAAAGCAAATTCCTAGAAGTAAAATTGATGGTTCAAGAGTGCAAAAGCAGACTGTGCTACTACCATATTATATCATTCCCTCGTATCCCATGGCTCAGGATTTTGAGCTTGGGACAAACTGAAAATGATGGAAAATTTCAACACAAAAATAAGTAAAAGCCAGGTACAACTAATATATATATATATATATAAAATCAAAAATAATTAGTCTAAATTTCCTAGGCTTAGACTTATTTCTTAACATTAGAGTATCATATACTCAAATGGTAGAAAATGACTCCAACTAAATATTCTTGATGTTATAGTGCTTTATCAAGAGGATGAAACATAAAAAAATCAGTACTTACTACCACTGCTGCATGAATATAATGCTCTGGAATTAACAGAAAGCATAATACAGAAATATGAATTGGTGAAATTTAATCATAATCATGTGCCATGTAAGCTTACCTAATAATTATTTTTCTGTTTCTTAACTGATATCTTTCAATAAATAAGATTATTATTTTTTTTTTAAAAAGAAGCTGATGGTTCAAAGGGTAGGTACTTTTTATTTTTCAATACATTAATTTTTTCAATTGTTTATTTCTCTTCTCCTCCCTTGTCTGTCTTATTCTTCACTGTGTTCTCAGCATCTATGAGAGTGCCACATATATGGGTATTCAATACATATTTATTAGAAGAACACTATTTCCAGATTGTGCTAAAGAAAATGTGTAGTATATATATCACTATACACACTGAATTAAAGTGTCAGTATGCCCTACACTCTAATTAATCTTGTGCCCTACACTTATCAATCTTTTAAAAGTATTTTCCTGTTGAACAAGTGAAAACATTTTTTCATCTATTGGCCATATTTCTTTCTTATTTTGTGAATTGCTAGCTTATATCCTTATTTTTCCATTGATGTGCTTATGTTTTTTATTTATTTGTAATAGCTCTTTGTATACTAAGGATAATGTTACATAAATTGCGATTTTTTCTTATTTTTTTATTTTGAGCTTTATGATATTTTATATTGTGTAGAAAATTTCAAATTTTATGTAGTCAAATATATCTTTTTTCCTTTATAATTTCTGGCATCTACATTAGTCTTATACCCCTCTATAATAAAAGATAATTTGGGACAGATATAATAGCTCATACCTGTAATCCTAGCACTTTGGGAGGCCAAGGCAGGAGGATCATTTTGAGACTCTGTCTCAAAGAAAAAAAAAAAAGATAATCTATGTTTCATGATTTTATAAAAAAGATTACATATTAAATTCTAGGTTTATATTCCTGTTTTACTTTTTAGTTACATTTAATTCATTATTAGACATAAAATTCTATTGGAGATTGTTTCAGAAGAAATAATTATTTATTTTTAACCCACATATACAAAGACATATATTCTATGAGGAGTAACATGTTACTCAGTTTGAATTGTTTAGTGTGATGTGTTTACTTTCTAAATCCTTAATGGAAATATTTTACCTAAAATGCTAGTATTTTAATGTTTATTAGCCTATAGTATTTTTAAACTATTAGTATGCAACCTTTTTAAAAGGATCTATTCTTTAGAGCATTTTTTTGTAGCTGAAAGAAAATATGACAAATCCGCTATTTAGCCAAATAGGAATTTATGTCATTGAGATTGTTTAATTATGTGGCTGACATTTCTGTCTTAGAAATGGGAATTAGTGAATTCAGTCACATGAGAAAATAGTATTGGAGAGTGGGTAGCTTATAAACAATAGAAATTTATTTCTCATAGTTCTGGAGGCTGAGAAGTCCAAGATCAAGGTGTCAGTAGATTAGGTATCTGGTGAACTAGGTATTCCTAGTTCATAAATGATGGTGTTTTTGATGTGTCCTCATATGACAGAAAGGGTGAGGGCTCTGCCCTAATGACCTAATCACCTCCCAAATGCCGTACCTCCAAATACCCTCATATTGGGGTTTTGGCTTCAACATATGAGTTTTGGGGGGCCACAAACATGCAGGGAGATTGACAGATTAATAAATCATAAAATTTTTAAATGCTTTTGTATAATTTAGAGTCTTTTCAAAGACAGACTTAATGGAGTCAAGAAAATATGTATAGATATAAATGTATCTAATAATCAAGTATAATTTCAGTTGGAGCTTATAAAGTTAATCTTCACAATATTTTAATTCAAATGGATGGCTGAATCTGCTCATACCTTTTAACTTGGATAGCATTGTGATCCACCCATCAGATCTTCCAACTGATCTCTGCAGCTGTTGGTGTATCTGGCAATCTGATTGTTTGTGCTTATCACGGTGAGGATTAGACACTTCCCAATCACCAGGTACTGGAGGCGTCTTTGTTTCCTGGTGACCTGAATACAAATATAATTTTCAGTTTGAGATTGGAATTTGTTGGTGAAGAAAAAAGTGATGACATTAATCATATTCTAACTGGGCCCTCTTTTTTTTCTGACACTTTTAAACATTTCATTTGTGATTAGAGTCTTGTTTCATTTTCTTTCCTGAGACAGGCTTATACCATGGATGGTATTCTTAAAAATGTGATAAATCGCTATTCTGGGATGTTATAGGGCACTGCTATATCCTCCTTCTTACTTCCTGTTCCTCCTACATATTTTGATTATAAAATCAGGCAGTCTTCTTTCCCATCACCGTATATATTTTTGTGCCATTAAGCCCTTAGCAACTGATTCCCCCTGTAGCTAAAGTGGTATATTAACAGCCACTATCTGCTGGCTACTGGCTTGGATTTGGGAAGGAGAATGATAATCACTCCAGTGCCTCTCCTTTCTCAGTTTTCATTCATCATCTACATTCTAGTCTGGACTCAGGAAATACCCTATACTTGGTAGGGCAATGTCAGAGATGAGCTGAGATCACAAAGCTTTTTTCTTCCTCTGTACCAAAACTTTATTTTGCCTTATAAATGTTAATATACATATATAATTTTTAAATTTTGACACTTACATATCATTACACATGTTAGATTGTTTCTACTCTAGGTTCTCTTATAATCATTGCTGTAGCAGAATTATATGTGCTCAACAGGCATACATAATTTACGTGCATTTAAAACTATTTCATAGTTATAACTATATATGAACTCAATCCACATACCTGCCTTCTTTCCTAAAGTTTGTTTAATCATTTCCTGACTGTGTAAAATCACTTGCATTGTATCTCTCTTTCCTTTAAGACCCCAAAGTATCAGCAACTTCACTGAACCCTTTTATTTTAAGAACTTGATGAAGGAAAGGAGAAATATTAAGTGATCTAATTTCCCATTTATTTTGCTTCTGGTTTCTCTGTAACTCTGGCTGAGCTACTGTCCAAATGGGGGTGAAGATCCCAAAGGTGAATGAAACTGCTGAGGATGGTGGTAGACAACAGCCAGTTACATTACTTCTTGAATTCCCTTAATTTAAAGTTGGGAGACACAAGAGAGTTAGGTTGCAGAATTTGGACAACCAAATCTCTGCACCAAATTATATCCCAAATTAGAGGTCTCCACTTAAGAGAGTGACTTTTCCAAAGCATGCCAGCTAAGCCAGAGGACTGGTTCATTCTCCTAGCATTTCTTGAGTCTGGTACTGAGCTGCTAGGACCTAGGGGTACTAAGAAAAATGGTAAAGACATACTCCCTGTTCTTGGAGCAGTAGCACCTTCTCAGGGGCTACTGCTACATACACAACTCACAGTGATATAAAGTATGCTAATGACTATATCAGAGCTCTTTAGAAAGTGTCCTAGAACCCAAAGGAGTAATAGATTGTTCAGTGAGAGGCTTTTCCAGGTAGGTTGCCAGGAAGATTGTGGGGATGTGGGTAGGACTTTGCCAGAGATTGCTTTGTTAGGTAGTAAGTAGTTGATGATCTCAAGTTGTAAATTAATGGCCTGGAAGGTGACAGCCTGGGTTTGAAGCCTGGCTGCACCATTTAGCACCTTTGTAAGCTTGGGCAAGTCACCAAACCTTGCTGAGCTTCACTTAATTTGTTTTAAAAAAGGGGAAATAATGTTAGTACTTACCTTTTTGGACTTGTTGTGGGATTAAGTGAGACAGTATATGTAAAATGCTTGGGATAACCTGGTGAATAGTAGCCTAGTCTATTTTTTGCCCCTCTAAAGAGTTGCATGTAAATCACTTTGGACAAATAATTATGGATCCCATTGTCAGAGCTCTCAAGGTTGAAAAACTATATAAATTCTTTTGGTTTTCTGAATCTGTGTGATAATTCTTCTAATCTGGAAGTTTCTTTTTTAACGTAGTTTAAATCTCAGTCTGTTGCATTTTACCAATTCTCATGCTATCCCAAAACAAATTAGGTCTGGTTTGAAATTGTCATTACTTTTCCTTTGTTCTCCAGTACTCTGATGTTAAAGCAAATCCATATTTAATTGTATAATTTTCTTCCTTTAATGTGCATAGCTCTTGGGTCTATTTTGTAGCACTTGTTACCATATATCTTTTCTCCTCCATTAACATGTCAAGTTTCTTAAGAGAAACCTTATATCTTCTTAATCTTATCTTTCATAACTTCTTAGCATGGTACCTTCCACATCAACGGCATTTAGTAAATACTGACTGAATGAAGGAATAATCACGAATGCATGCGGTTGCCAGATAGCTGATGTGATCTCAGACCGTCATCATAGAAACAATCTCCCCAACAGGACAAAGTGCAGAAACTGAGGAGAGTGGTTAAGGTGGTGAGAAGACTGAAAACCATGATTATACATGGAATAATTGAAAACAGAGGGGATGTTCAGTTTGGAGAAGAGAAAGCTTATGCTAGGAGAACTGGGATGGCAAGGGTTGGAAACAGTACTTCCTGTTAGGGAAATATTGTCATGTGGAAGAGAGAATCAGTTTGTGACCCCAGAAGATACATAGGAACAGCTTCTGGAAATTACATGGAGAAAGATTTCAACTCATTGTCAAAATAACTTTCTAACAATCAGAATGGCTTCCAATTGGCTGTCTTGAGGAGTGAGTTTCCTGTCATTGTAAGGTGTTTAATCAGAAACTATACTATTTGTTGGGAAGGCTATAGGGGACATACTTACTCTCAAAGGAATTGGAGTAGATGACCCCCAGAGTCTTTTTCACTCTCATGGTCTTTAATTCTGTGTATATTGTTATATAGTATTGTATATGTTTACACTGTATTAAAGGTATACATATTATACATGTACATATATTTATGTATTATGTATTCTTAATATTACCATAATGGCTAAATTAATGAAGGGTGAAAATGGCTTTTTAAAAACTTTATCTTGGATTATTTAAAAATATTGCTATCATTTTTGGCTTGGGGATACCAGTTTATAAAATATTATTCTACATGAACACTGTGTGTTTAAACTGCAATAAGTAAGTTTAAATTGTTGTTAGCATCTCAAATGCAAATAAATACTATTTGAATTTTTTAGTTAAATCTAAAAAGAGAAAAAAGTAAGTGAGCCAGAGTCAGTATGTCCTGATTCAGATGAATTGTGTATTTAAAATACAGGACTTCATCACCACTACCACCATTGTGTGACCATCACCATCACTGCAAACATTTATTTAGCATTTACTTCTGTGTCCAGCTCTGTTCTAAACATATCACACGTATTAGCTCATGTGCTTCGCTTTAAAACCCAATGAGGAACATGCTATTATTTCCAATTTTTTAAAAATTTATTTTGAAATAATCTGAAGCATATAGAAAAGTTGCAGGTATAGTACAATGAACTTCTGGGTAAAGGATAACACTCTTATATTCTTCACCCAAGTTCTCCGATTGTAAACATTTTACAACATTTGCTTTGTAACTCATCCTCTTTTTTCCTAAATCAATTGAAAGTAAGTTGCAGAGGTGGTATCCAGTTACCCCCAAGTACCTGAGTGTTTTCCTCCAAGATAAGGATCCTCTCCTGCATAACCACGGTATTATCACCTAAATCATTAATTTAACACTGATATAATTCTACTATCTAATCCACAGATCTCATTAAAAATTTATCATTTGTCCTAACAATTTCCTCTTTGGAAAAATATTTTTTTATTTCTGGTCTAGAATCCAATCCAGGATTATGAGTTGCATTTAGTTGTCTTGTCTCTTTAACCTTTAATTTGTGACAATTCCTCAGTCCTGTCTTGTCTTTAGTGATTTTGACATTTTTTAGTTCAGGCCTTTGTGTGTGTGTGTGTGTGTGTGTGTGTGTGTGTGTGTGTGTGTATGTATGTGTGTATGTGTAGAATGTCCCTCATTTTGAGTTTGTCTGATGTCTCTTTGTAATTCAGGTTATTCATTTTTGGCAGGAATTTCTCCACTGTCAAGTTATTCTCTTTCCCTTTGAATTAACAAGTATTTTGTGGGGAGATACACTGAGACAATGTTAACATCCTGTACTTCATCAAACCTCACTCACTTATTTTATGATGATATATTTTTTTCAAGAGATGGGGTCTTACTCTGTCACCCAGGCTGGAGTGCAGTGGCCTGCCCCCCCCCCCCCCCCCCAGTACCTGGGAGTACAGATGAGCACCAACCTGCCTAGCTAATTTTTTAATATTTTGTAGAGATAGGGTCTTGCTATGTTGTCAGTCTGGTCTCAAACTCCTGGCCTCAAGCAACCCTCCTGCCTCAGCCTCCCAAAGTGCTAGGATTACAGACATAAGCCACCATGCCCTGCCAGAGATTCTTGCTTGAATAAATTATTACTGTGATGATTGCCAATAGGCAAATTTTCTAATTCCAGTGTTTTCCATTTACTAGTTGGTATTCTGTTGTAAGGAAGTTTTTTCATCTCCTTTATTTTTTATTCATTTATTTTCTCTCCTTTTATTTATTTATTTATTTATTTATTTATTTATTTATTTATTTTTTTTTGAGACAGAGTCTCACTTTGTTGTCCAGGCTAGAGTGAGTGCCGTGGCGTCAGCCTAGCTCACAGCAACCTCAAACTCCTGGGCTCAAGCGATCCTCCTGCCTCAGCCTCCCGAGTAGCTGGGACTACAGGCATGCCGCCACCATGCCCGGCTAATTTTATATATATATATATCAGTTGGCCAATTAATTTCTTTCTATTTATAGTAGAGACGGGGTCTCGCTCTTGCTCAGGCTGGTTTTGAACTCCTGACCTTGAGCAATCCGCCCGCCTCGGCCTCCCAAGAGCTAGGATTACAGGCGTGAGCCACAGCGCCCGGCCTTCTCTCCTTTTATTATTCATTTATTTTCATCAGTATGGATTTGTGGATTTCTATTTTATTCAAAAGATTATAATTCATTACTATCATTATTGATTGTGATGCTGAAATTGTCCCAGTTTTGGCCATTGGGACACCCTTCAAGCTAGTTCTTGTGTCCTATTGACATCTCAATATTATTCTAGGAGTACTTCCTTACATTGTACTGGAAGATGTTTCAGGCTCTTCTTGTACTTTTCCTGACCCAACCATTTTGATCATTTTACCAGCTATTTCTCCCTGGATCTCTGATTCCTTTTATTTGAGAATGCATTTTTAGAACCAAGATCTGGATGCTATGTGTGGTCATTGCTACTGGAGTGTTACTGTTTTTAAGCCATTTTAGCAGACAGAGCTATGAAATTCACAAACATACACATACATACATCCATATCTCTTTCTGTATTTTTCCATGTATTTATACTAAAACCCATGAGTTTACTCCAATATCTCCCACTCTACTCCAATACCATAGAGCTGATTCTAGTCTTTACCCTTTTTCTGTTTCTAACCTCCTTCTCTAATGGTGAAAGTTCTGGCTCCCATTATCCTCGAGATTGGTTATGTTATCTTTTATATAACCAAACTCCTGACCTCACAGACCACCCCTTTAGCCCCAATTCCTCCTTAGACTCAGTCCTACTGGCCCCACTAGACTCCTCTTGGCTTTAAATTAAACAACTAAAAAGTTATGGAGCAGGAATTCAAACCTCCAAGCCGCTAGTTACTTGACATTGGGGCTCTTTATTGGGTCTTCAACCCTAACAAAACCTGTTTGCTTCTGTGAAGATAGATGTTCATGGAAAGAGGGCCCTCGGGTTAATGAGATGAAGATTTAACCAGGCTAAGTGTCAGCCCATAGGGACTTACCTTCCCTAAGGAACATAAAAGGATAGAGCCAAATGCTGCCACCTGCCACGAACCACAGTGAGAGTATTCTCCAAAATTGATGAGGTTCAGAAACTAGTCAACCAGCACCTTTAATGTCACAAATACCCCACTATGTTTTATTATATCAATAATACATTCCACTAAGACATAAACATATTACTGTGCTCTATTTATAAAGATAGAAATATCGCTTTTATTAGCAGCTTCCTAAATTGAAATTCTAGGATATGGATGATGGTGTCTTCTGTTTTAGTGCTAACTTCATTTCCTGGTCCAGAAGATCAGAAATATGTTCATGTTTTAGAGAACAGCATGAAGTCCATCTGTTCAGGTCAGATTTTTCCACATTACCATAAAGATTTATGGGGTGGTAACTTATATAAGAAAAGCCAATGGTAATTATGTTATATTTTTTGCTGCCAACTGGAATCTATGTTATATTTTTGGGTAGTCATGAAAATATAGTAATATTTATATACACACATATTGAATTAATTCTTTCAAACACAATGATAAAACATCTTCATCAGTTTGTGTAATATTTCACCTCTGTTTTGGTTTACTAGACATCATCCATTCAAATTTTCTCTGTAATATGGTCTGTTTATCCACAGTTTTCCTTTCAACAGAAGGCACAGAAATACAAGAGCTACAGTTGGCTTCCTGGGTGGCTATTCTTGTCTGACTGAAATACAGAGTAATGATTTCTTTTTTCCTTTGATGAAAATAGCTTTATTTCCCCCACAGATTTTGAAGTAAATACATACTTATATAAAAAATTTAAAAAGTAAAAAGAAAAGACTGAATAATTGAAATTTCACCATCTGCAAGTATAAACATAAAATGTTTTATATAAATGGGATCACAACAAATATTCTTTTTTTTTTTTTTTTTTTGAGACAGAGTCTCGCTTTCTTGCCTAGGCTAGAGTGAGTGCTGTGGCGTCAGCCTAGCTCACAGCAACCTCAAACTCTTGGGCTTAAGCAATCCTACTGCCTCAGCCTCCTGAGTTGCTGGGGCTACAGGCACAAGCCACCATGCCCGGCTAATTTTTTTATATATATATATATATATTAGTTGGCCAATTAATTTCTTTCTATTTTTATAGTAGAGACGGGGTCTCGCTCAGGCTGGTTTTGAACTCCTGACCTTGAGTAATCCACCCGCCTCGGCCTCCCAGAGTGCTAGGATTACAAGCGTGAGCCACTGCGCCCGGCCTAAATATTCTTTTATACCTTTCTTTTTACTCAGCCATATGCCATGAAGGATTTCTTATGTCAAAATATATATACATATAAATTATACTTTTAGATAGCTGCTTAATATGCATTGATGTTTTTATTTAACCAGTACCACATTAATAAGCAGTTAGGTTATTTCCAATTTTTCATTATATAAAGAAAGCCATGGTGAATATTCTTCCATGCACATCTTTATGTATTTTACTAGGGATCTCCGTAGGATCTATTCCTGGGAATGGCATTGCTGGGTCAAAGAAGTCACAAATTTTAAATGTTGATACATGTTGCAGGTAAAATTAACTGTTGATGAGATGGATTACATTCTTTGTTCTTCATATACAACGTCTCTGTCAATGACAGGACTTGGTAAAGTCTCTTTTCAACTTTGCAGTAACTGTATATACATACATACACATAGACACGTGTGTGTGTTCTCCTACAGACATTATAGAACTGAGTGATTTTTAATAAATCTAGATGTGCTACTTAACCAACCAGGTATTATCAAGTTTCATTCAAAATTTGACTTATATTTTGGTCTGAAACAAGACGGAATCTGGTAACTGTTTCTTAATTGCCTTATCTTACGTGATTTTAATGTAGTAAATGGGAGGAAATGACTGAGTTGTAATTTTAGTGAGTGGCATCTATAGTGTGAAAATTAGTTATGATTAAACCAAACTTGTAAAATTTTGAACTACTTCATTTGGCATTTTGATAAGTCTTGACCCTAAGAGGGATTTCAGGCTTGGCTTTTTTTGTAGATAAACATCAGCAAGAACAGGGTAAATGTGAGCAGGTGGTGTATGCAGTTTTTGAGGGATTTGAGAGTAGATTCTGTTGATTCTGGGGTGTTCCTTTTTAGTTCAGGGATGGGTGCATGTCCTGGGGAGTTGGAAGGCTTTGAATTCAGCTGGGCTGCTTGATGCTGTCTCATGAGTGTTAGGTAAATAAATGACAAATAATCAAGAAGTACAACTTTAATAAGCATATTGGAACAGCCCAGTAATTTACATTTAATTAGCATCTAACCTAATTGGCAATTTAACTATTTAGATACATACAAAAAAGATCATGGAAGTAGAAAAGGGTCCTTTTATTCTGCCTCCTCCCCCTGCTAGTGATGGTTCCCTCCCACCCTTCACAGATTTGCCCTGCACAGCTGAATTAAAGGTGCTGATTCACAGCAAAGTGAGTCTGCTTTTTTTTTTTTTTAATTTTAATGATAGTAGGAAAGTAAGAGGTGGATGATAAATATGTGTTCATCAAGAATGGCATATTTTATGCAAATTGATAAGTCTACTGCTTCAGAAATTAGAAAGGCTCTTTCCTGGAAGGGGAAATAAGTGTCGATTATAAATGGTAAAAGACTTGCATTCCAGCAAGTTGTTAGCTGCCAGCCGACACATTCATCACAGCGTGCCAGGATGGATTTTAAAACGTCACAACATAAATTGCTGTGCTCCAAATCAGGCACTATCGCCTTCACACAAGCCAAATCAACCTGCTCCTTTGAAAACTGCCACGTAGACTTTTTTTCAACCTCAGTTAACCTTTTCTTTCCTGGTATGCATGGATCATGTCAGCCTACTAAAGTCATTAACCACCACTGAGTAGAGAGGAGCCAGGCTTCAACTTTGCCTGCACAGCAACTAACAGATCCAGGAGCTTTCAAACTGATGACAGGACTAAATGTTTAGCCCAGTTCTAACCAGACTGATAACTCTCATCTCTACCTCTCCTTTTCCATACCTTCTGCTCTTATTTAATTCTTTTTTCTCAGTCTTTTCTCTCCCAGACCCCACTGTTAACTACTAGCAGCTAATGCACAATTGATAAGCCCCTAGTTATTGTTTTTCCTTCCCTAACTCTCTGCTTTAGAACTGTCAGCAGAGTCTCCAGCTCAAACTTGGGCTAGCCCTCCTGTTTGCTGCATTCCTTCCCACTTCTCCTTCCAGCTCCCACCTCAATACCATCAGATCTCTCTTACCTCCCCTCATGTACAAGCTCCCTACTATAAAAGTTTCCCCTCATACAACCCAGACTCACAAAGCCCAGCAAAATCCTGAAGCCTCTCTCTCATTCTCCCATAGCCCAGTGTGTTAGTCAGTTTTGCATGACTATAAAGGAATGCCTGAACCTGGGAAATTTATAAAGAAAAGACGTTTATTTGGCTCATGGTTCTGCAGGCTATACAAGAAGCATTGTGCCAGCATCTGCTTCTGGTGAGGGCTTCAGGGAGCTTCCAATCAAGGCAGAAGGTGAAAGGGGAGCAGGTGTGTCATGTGGCGAGAGAAGGCGCAAAAGAGAGAGAAGGTGGTGCCAGGCTATTTTAAACAACCAGCTCTCCAATGATCTGATAAAGAACTCATTCTCTAGAGGAGGTTACCAAGCCATTCATGAGGGATTTGCCTTCACGACCCAAACACTTCCCACCAGGCCCCACGTTCAACACTGGGGCTCAAATTTCAACGTGAGATTTGGAGGGGCCAAACATCCAAACCGTATCATCCAGTTTGGCCCAACACTTCTTAGCCCCCTTAGATCACATTCCACCTTGCTGCTCCCAGTGTGGCCCACTCTGGAATCCAGTATCCATTACATTTCCTAGTCCAATTAAACAGCCTTCATCTCCAACCCAGCTTGCCACACCCACAGCTTCAGCTGAACTCAATCCCATTAAAGCAGTCTTGACCCATACCCTCTTGGGAAGCTTCACCTTTTCAGCCCAGAATAAGGATTCACTCCCACCCAGGTAACCCTCTTTTAAGCTGATTTTAGCTAACATACTGAGGAGCTTATTCAGCCTAGTGTGCCCTGAATTTTTTCTAGGCAGAATGAATGAGCTATCATCTAGTCCTGGTACTCTTGTACATCTGTTAGCACTGCAGGGAGTCATCCTCACAGAGGATGTCACCACTGACCTGTCACCAGCAAAGTGTGGTGATGAAGATGGATTTGGACTGATTCATCCAGATTCCTCACCCAGATCTTCTAAGTGAGAAGATGTACTTGCAAGGTGGTTGGCAGGGTCAGGGGTGTAGTCTGTGGCTCTAGAAACAAAAGTTAGCTATTGCTGCAGTAATACAGAGCTGTACCCTATCTAAATGATGGACTGTTAAGGTTAGACCACCAAAACCAGATTCCAGAATGCAACAAGCTTGTCATTCCTCAGACTCTCAAAGTAAGGTTTTTATCAAGAACAAGGAGGTCAAGGATAGAATGAAAGACTTCATATCCTACTAATTTTTGAGCCAGATATCAGTTTCCTGCTGGCCAATTATGTGAATATAAATACCAGAATTCATCCCCAAGAATCTCTGAAATAATGTATTTAGCATAATTGTCTAAGAACTACTATCATATAGTCGTGTCCACAAATTGTGTGGGAAAAACCCTAGTTTATAAGCAATTTCAAGTCCAGTCTAAAATTTTTTTTTACTCTGAAAAATCTAAAATGTGGAAGAGAATCACTTCTGACTAGTGTAAATAAAAAGTATTAAGTAAAATTAAGCAATCATTTTTAATATAGGATTTAATAAATTATCATCATATTTCTGGTAAATATTGAGATGACTACTTTTTTTTTGAGACAGCGTCTCATTCTTGCCCAGGCTAGAGTGCAGCAGGTCATCATAGCTCACTGTAGCCTCGAATTCCTAGGCTTAAGCAATCCTCCTGCCTTAGCCTCCTAAGTAGCTGGAACAACAGGTAGCTAGAACACAACCACCACCTGGCTAATTTTTCTATTTTTTTTTGTAGGGACAAGCTCTCACTATGTTGCTTAGATTGGTCTCAAATTGCTGATTTTAAGTGATCCTCCTACCTTGGCCTTCCAAAGGCAAGATTACAGGTGTGAGCCACCTCACCTGGCCTCAGATGACTACTTTGAAGTATTTTGAAATAAAGATACTTTTCTTATTTCAAAAAGCTATTTTTAATATATTAACATTTATTGCTCTTCAGTGAGTTCAAAGTATATCTTATTATAGCCACTAAAACATTTAGAAAATGGAAAAGAGTAATAAATAAAATAATACTAAAAACAATTTTTTGTCTTTTATATTCCAAATACTTAATGCTAAAAACC